CTTCTCCTCTCCTCCTCCTCTCCTCCTCCTCTCCTCCTCTCCTCCTCCTCCTCCTCCTCCTCTCCTCCACCCTTCCTTCCTCACTGTCTTGGTGCAGGTCTGAGCTCCACGAGCAAGCGGATCTGCTGCAGGACGAGCTCTGGGCTGTCAGCGACGCATCGCGAGAGAAGGCGGAGGAGGAGCGAACGTCCATCGTCAGCGACTCCTTCATGTCCGATCATGTGCAGGTTACTCCTCGTCCTCGTCCTCGTCCTCGTCCTCGTCCTCGTCCTCCTCGTCCTCCTCCTACTAATCACATCTGCAGCTCATCATCGTGAGCTTTGTGGGAATGATGCAACAGGAAATTCTCCGCTTCCAGGTACTCTTTCCCTCTTCCCTCGCTCCTCCTCCACGCCGCTCCTCTCCTCTCCTCGCTCTTCGCTCCTTCACTCCCCTCCCGCCCTCCCCTCCTCCCTACCTTGCTCCTCGTCCCTCCTCAAGTCCCAGCAGGCAACTCGAGCTATTCTCCGCGACTACTTCTGGTACAGGGCAGGAAGGAACATGCCGGAAGAAACGCCCGAGGCTCTCAACGTCATTCAAATGTTCATGGACGACGCTCCTGACATCCAGGGGTCCCCCATCGAGGTTCCTGCTGCTGCTGCTGCTGCTGCTGCTGCTGCTGCTGCTGCTGCTGCTGCTGCTGCTGCTGTGCTCCTCCTCCTCCTCCTCCTGCCTTTGCTCCTGCTTCTGCTCCTGCTTCTTCATCCTCTTACTATAAACTTGTCAGGTTGATGAAGAAAGCAACTCGAAATTAACGGATAGCGACAAGGAAAGGCTGGGCAAGCTCAAGGTACCTCCTGCTCTGCTCTGCTCTGCTCTGCTCTGCTCTGCTCTGCTCTGCTCTGCTCTGCCCTACTTCATTCCTCTTCCTCTTTCTCTTCTTTTCCTCCTTCTCCCTCTTCCTTTCCTCCCTCTCCCTCCTTCTCTTCTCACCTTGCATGTTTTATACATCAGGCTGTCATCGACTACTGCACAAACTTCTTGTTCGGCCAGCAAGGAGAGGAGGAGGAGGTCTTTTCCTTCCTCCTTCTTTTGACCCCCCCCC